GACTCTTTTTTTGCTATTAACGTAGTCTAGCTTTTCCTCTGCTCTCCAAATTAATGTGCTTTGTTCAGGGTTTTGTGGGGGGGTTTAACTTCCAAAGTTGTATTAGGCAATGAGGTCCTGCTTTTGGATAGACAATGGGGAACTGTGTATGAGAGTGAAAGGTTTTGCTTTTTCCTTATAGGTCTTAGGGCATGTTTTCCTAGTTGCCTTGTAAATGACAAGTGGACAGTCTTGTCCTGTATGCAAAGGAAAAAATGGTAGAGGTGTGTGTGTGTCTGTGTGTTAAATAATCATGGCTCTCTTAAGAGCTTCTCCCCATTTCATCTTCTGCGCCCTTCCGAGAGTGGAAATCTCCGGTCAGATTGCTTTTCAAATTGGAAGGCTCCATAAGAGCAAGAGGGCAGTTGAACTGGAGAGAGCAGATGGATGAAATGGTCTCCTTTTAGGATTCATCTCTGTCTCTCTCTGTCTCTCTCTGTCTGCCTGTCTCTCTCTGTCTCTCTCTGTCTCTCTCTCTCACACACACACAGAGGGATCCCCCTCCTCTCACAGTTAGAGGCAAGAAGAAAACTGCACATTACTAGAAGAATTCATAAGTAGGGGGGGCTGTTACTCGATAACAAACCAGTGGAAGCGAACAGGTTTGCAGAAGCTTTTCACACTTTATTAGACTTCAAGTGTACATGAAAGGCACGGATGCACCAGCCACCTGTATCATGCAAGTATACTAGTTACGAAGCTGTGATTGGCCACAGCAGTGAGTGCATGCAGTGTAGCAACCCCAGGTTTGCCCCTGTAAGACATAAAATGGTTGAAGGCAAAGAATGCTAAAAAAAAACACCCCAAACCCTCTCTGAAACCATCTAGGCTTCTCAAGATACAAGTCACAACAGACGTCTTTTGTATGATTAGGAAGCAGCCAGGATATTCTGGGGAGGGGATGGAAAGTAGAAGGTGTCTCCCTATCTGATAGGTTAGATCTGTACTGTTGGTCAGCAAATTCCCAGAACTACTTTCCCTAGAAGAGAGCAGTTGGAAGAGATGGTTTCTGCAGACCGACTCTGAGTTGAAAAGCGTAAAGGAAAGTAGGGGGGGATATATTTATTTTGCATTAGACAGGGCTACAGCTTGCGGGGGTGGCAGAAGTACTGCAGGGAGCTACTAAGAAATCTGCTACCTTCGTTTGCCCATTTGGTGTTTAAAGCACTGATTCCAAGTGAGAGCACAAAGAGAGAACATAATTCTGCTTAAAGAAGAGCATGCAAACTTGCTGGCTGCATGGTTCTTTCTACAGAGTTCAGGCTATGTTGAAAGCTTTCGTAGTCTTGCATGTACCAATGCCGTGATTGCAGCAGCGGTTTATATAAGCCTGCTTTCATACCTTGGTGTGCTGCAGATTGTATACTTAAAGGGGAGGCGCAGTCAGTCCCAATTCCCTGATGAATGCCTCTGTGTATTTTTTTAGGAATATGCCTACAGTGTCAAAACATAACGTGAGAAGCAATGGCTACTAATAGGGCTTCTCCTTTATAAGTTTTAAATAGTTTGAAGAATTGGAAAACTGTGACAAACATTTCTGTTGAACAGTGACTGTCACAAGAGTCATGCAGAAGGATGGGGTAAAAGAATAATCGACAAGACACCCTTTAAAAGAGCTTGCAACATTTATCAGATTTTATTACTCTCACATCCTAAACAAGCAGGGGTTGTTGCTCAGTCGTAGAGCATCTGCTTTGTGAACAGAAGGTCCCAGGTTCAATCCTTGGCATCTCCAGTTAAAAGGATTGGATAGTAGGTGATGTGAAAACCAGGGAAACTCTTCCCTGAAGAGTTTCTGCCAGGTGGAGTAGGCGGTCTGGCTCCTGATAGACCAAGGGTCTTGGCTGAGTAGAAAGCTCCTCCATTTTATCCTCACGACAGCCCTGTGAGGTAGATCAGGCTGAGCATGCGTGAGTGGCCCAAAGTCACCTATCAAGCTTCCAGGGCTGACTGTAGATCGGAAGTGGAGGTCTCCCAGGCTGACCCTCTAACCATGGCTCCACACTGGCTCCACGCTTAATGGAGGTTCTGCTGGAACCAAACTAGGACTCAATCACCCACCATAAAAGGGGGTTGTTCTCTGTGAGGTGTCTGGTTTCTCCTGTGGCCACTTGTTCCCCCCCCCCCATAGAGCTAGTTCATTATCGACTATGGAGTACTATACAACTCTGTGGGTGGGGGGGGGGACTCCTGATCTTAACTTGCAATGTTAAGAAACCCTTAGAGAGCTGGGAAATCGGCTTCAACCTATCCTGTCCAGTGCAGATTTGGTCTAAAGGAAAGTAACTGGCATGAGCTTAACGGTGCCATCTTATGCATAGTTATGCCGGTCTAAACAAGCTGTTTTCAGTGGACTTGGCACTGGAGTAATTCTGCACGGGATCGTACTGACAAATCGAACAAGGCTTTCTGGGCCTTCCTGAAACCTTCCCTTTATACAATAGGAATCAACTTCTTGCCACCGAGTATATCGTATTACGTGTTTAGGAACAACACTGTTACCGAAAGGGATCTCAGGTGCTAAAAATAGGGAGGCCAGCCACAACAGTTTGCACCGAGATGATGCAAAGCTGAAGTGGATGTCAAGGTGCAACTGGGATTCTGTTTGAATTGCATCATAAGGAAAATGCAGGCGGCAGAGAGAGGGGCGCGGTTTACACTCTTGACAGACGAGTGCAGTCCTAAGCTGAGTTTACTTCCCTTCTAAGACTTCAGTGGACTTAAAAAGGTGTATGTGATGCTTTTTAGGACGGCACTGTGCGTTTCCATGGTATATTATGCTGATTCAAAGGCAAATGAACAGAACGCCCCTGGCATTGCTATCCTGGATGTGTATTCCAAACAAATCAGAACACTTTACCTTAACACCTTTAATAAGGACCAACCAAATGACAAATAGCAGTCCATGAGCTTCTGAGTTCACTAGAACCCTGCGTCAGGCTGATGAAAGGGGTCGTGTACATTTCTCAGTGAGGATCCTTCAGATCTAAGTAGGGCACTGGGATGCGCCTTAGTGTACAGGCAAGTATTTGTTCTGGCTTCCGATAATTTTTCAGCCATGATTCAAGATGCTAGTTATTTCATAGAAGCAAAAGGTCCATCAGGATGATTGGAAGGATACTTGGAAAGGAAAGGTTGTTTGTTGCCTGGATCTGTACACCGTCTCACACAGGGGCCAACCAGTTCCTCTGGACGGCCAACAACAGGGCATGGAGGCCAAGGCCTTCCCCTGATGTGGCCTCCTGGTACTGGGGTTCAGGGGCTTAGTGATTAGTAGCCAGACCAGCACTTGAGGACAATTATAGCTCCATTGTGGATTTCGTTTCTTCACTGAAATGTGAGGGCAGTCTTAATGAGATAGATTAAGAGCCTATAAAGGAGATAGATTAAGTGCCTATACAAGCTGGGGTCACAGCCCTTTAGCTATTTGGTTGATCATAGGGCTTTCCCAGCTCTGGCTTGGGGCATAGTTGGAGGAAGTGCCTGGGGAGGACAGAATTTGGGGACGGGAGGGAACTCCGGTGGCGATGCGATGCCGTAGAGCCCACCCTCTGAAGCTGCCGTATCCTCCAAGATAACGGATCTCTGTAGACTTGGACTTAGCTGTCATTCTGGGACAACGATCTGGAAGGCAGCAGCCCTGCCTGATTGGTATTGAGAGGTCAGGGCCTTCTCTGTCACTGCACCTGATCTCTGGAACTCTCTCCCGGTTGAGGCCTGCCTGTCTTGAGTCGGCAGGTGCAAACTTTCCTTTTGGGACAGGCTGTCAGCTGGTTTGTTTTTCTCATTTTCTCAGTTCTGCAGTTGGAGATCTTTGTCTTGGTTTTCTGATTTCACTGTACTAATGCTATCGCTCTTTACCTGGAGCAGCTGTTTGAAAAGATAATGGATGTGTTTCTTAAATAGATATTTTCCCACTTGGCACGTGATTTTCTTGTCAGTCTGTGTGTATGAGCTGTGGCCCGTGCAATGTTATAGCATGAATTTGTTGTTGCATCAACAGATGCTTTCAGTATAATGGCAATGAAATTTTCCTTCCAAGCCATACGAGTGGCAGACTAAAACTCCAGTGACTCATTCCCCCAGACAGCCCAGTTTCTCTATCAAAACTGTGTAGAAAAGGAACAGAAAATACGGGCCAGAGACAAACAGAAGCAACATATAGGTAGCTGAAGGCTAATGACAGCCCATACGTAGAGATAAGAAAACAATGAGGATGAGCCACAGACTGAACCACCGATTCTGAAGCAAAAGTCCTACGCAGCCATGATGATCTGTGGTTACAGGAAGGGGCATACCTTCATTCCTGTTCACTCATGATAAAGCAAAGTGCACCTGGCACTGGCTCTGCATTTAATACTGGAATTGCCAACACATGAATAATTGGCACTGGACCTGCTTTATAGACATGCACCAACTTAGATCTTGGAATCTGCATAACATTTCCAATCCACGCACAGTATTTCTCAACCCTTAGCTGTGTATCTCAACCTGACATCGTAATCATTTCAGGTCATGCAGAAGAAGGTCGATTATGCAATGACGTCTGTGCCAGTCATCAAGAATCTAGCTTTTTATGGCATATTGCATAAAAGCAATTGGGCAATAAGATTCAGTTTTCTTTCAATGTATGGGCCTGTTTACATCCCAGTTGCCTAGGCACGGCCTGGCTTCTTCCAGTAAGTAGAAATCACTGGCAATCTTCCATAGTTTTCACTGTGGATAATGGTGATTTGAAGCTATAGACTTTGCCCATGAACTCCAATCAGATGTATAAAGTTGACTGGCAAACTGTTTGGCTGTACTCTGGGTAGCAGGTGAGTTACTCTAGTGTTAGAGTTACTCAAACAGCGATGATGACAGTATTCCCCCCATGGTTGTTGGCAAGGATGTCTTTCAGGCACAGGGAAATTTTCATGTCATGATTCCATTCCCCTGCTCCTTTCCCCACAATTTTACAGGCCTTCTGTAACAGCTTCCTCAGCAACCATGGCCACCTCAGCGAGCTCTCACCTGAGCAAAGCTGTAAAGCAAATGTACATGAAGCTGCCACAAGGGGAAAAAGTACAAGCCATGTACATATGGATTGATGGGACTGGCGAGTTCCTGAGATGTAAAACTCGGACGCTGGAACGTGAGCCCAAGAACGTCGAAGGTAAGTGAATACCCCATCTTAGGAGGGCAAGAATTCACCTCTACCTAGACTGCAAGCACCGTTTGGCCTGCTAAGTGATATTAAGTCTCTTATTCTGGCTTTGTGGCATCACTTCCCATGTTTCCTGGCCAAGAACTACCATGCAAATAGTACCCATTTTTCTCATTGCATCAATGACAAAGGCTTTTCCTGTGAATTTGGCATTTTCCTTTAGGTAAAAGACAGTTGAAAGTCCGACGCTGAACTGCAGATTCGTGGAGGGTTTGTAGTGGTGGAAAATTCACAGTTTCTATCTTAGCTCTGCACCTTTGTTGACTTGGCCAGAAAATAATGGAGACCTTACCTAAGGTGGTAAGGTACTGGTACTAAAATGAAGCATCACTCTGTATTCAGTTCTAGGCTACAAGGGTAACCAGAAGACTGATAGGTTAAAAAGAAAGAAAGCAATTTGTGTCTGTTGGCCTACTTTTTTGTTGAATTCTCTAGGACCAGAAAGACTTCAAAAAGAATAGAGAACATTGCCTTGACTTCAGCTCCACAGATTAACAAGCCTTTATGGGGCTGCTTACCAATTTCATCTCCTGATCCCAAATGACTCCCACCCCATCTCCCCCAGGGGCTGCTGTTTCCCATACCCTGGAACACCTGCACAAAAGACCGCCTCTCTCTCCTCTTCCAAATCCATCTGCAAAACCCACCTGTTCTGTGGAACCTTTGGCTTCATCCCCCAGCACAAACAAAGCCAGACTACTTTGAACTACATTTACTCTTGTGTACCCAGGAGCTGCGGTGGATCAAGTGGTTAAGACGCTGAACTGCAGGCTGTGGAACGTCGGTAGTTCAGCAGTTCGAGACCCAAGTTGCCGCATGACGGAGTGAGCTCCTGTCTCTAGTTCCAGCTCCTGCCAACCTAGCAGTTCGAAAGCAAGAAATTGCAAGTAGATAAATAGGTACCACTACGGTGGGAAGGTAACAGTGTTCCGTGCGCCTTGGTGTTTAGTCATGCCGGCCACATGACCACGGAAACGTCTTCGGACAGCGCTGGCTCTTCGGCTTTGAAACGGAGATGAGCACCGCAACCCTGGAGTCGGATTCGACTGGCTTTCGAGCAAGGGAACCTTTACCTTACCCATCTTTAGCGGGCTTCTCTTCCTCTGCTCTCCTTACTACTGAAATTCTGAGTGCAAACTCCTCAGGGCAGGGTCCTTCCTCTTTCGCTGAAGCCGCTCTCTAAACCTCCATGCACACGGATAGCATTGTTGGAAGAAAAAATATATATATAACAGTTTAGTAGAACTGCAGCATGCAGTCCCAAGCGGCTAGACATGTATTGCATTTAAATAAAATAAGTTCCCTCCCAACGGTAAAGAAGAGCCTGAAGACACATGGGCAGAGACCACTAAAAGTCATAGAATCATAGAGTTGGAAGGGGCCAGACAGGCCAACTAGTCCAACCCCCCCGCTCAATGCAGGATCAGCCTAGCCCTAGAGCATCCCTGACAAGGGTTTGTCCAGCCGTTGCCTGAAGACTGCCAGTGAGGGGGAGCTCACCACTTCCCCAGGCAGCCGATTCCACTGTTGCACAACTCTTAGTGTCAAAAAGCTTTTCCTAATATCCAGCCGGGACCTTCCCGCCCTTAATTTGAACCCATGATTGCGAGTCTTATCCTCCGCTGCCAACAGGAACGGCTCCCTGCTCTCCTTTAAGTGACAGCCCTTCTTCAAAGACTTCCAGAGAGCCATCCTGTCCCCCCTCAACCTCCTCTTCTCCAGACTGAACATTCCCAAGTCCCCTCAGCCTTTCCATAGAAGTCCTGAAACCAGCAGGAGATGGTAGAGTGTGGCTTCCAATAATTTGAGGAGCAAAATTTCTTAAGAGGAAGATGAGTCCTAATCCTGTCTCCTTTTCCTTAGTCACTGGCAAAAGACCCCCCCCCCCCAACAGTCCCATGTTCATAGCTAGAATAAGGGCAGCACTGTATGTGCCATGTATTTTATGACTACTTCTTCCATGTTTTAAATTTACACGGAAGATGCAGTGTTAAGGGGGAAGGATACTGTCTATTTACATTTTTCCTACTGAAAATACTCACTACTGGAGGGGGGGGGAAAGCCCCCAGCATAACTAAAAGCAGTTTGAGGGTGTCTTTTTGTTGTTGTTGTTGGAAAACTGCATGGGGGCGGGAAAGATTAAACAGTCCTTTTCCTCCACCATGCACCAGTTCTTCCCCTGGAAATTAGCACCCCTGCACATCCAGAGGAGTAGCCGTATCAGTCTGTTGCAGCAAATACACTTGAGTCCTGTGGCACCATGAAGACTGACATTAGTTCATCCTACTCTAAGCTGTCACGGACCAGTGTGCACTTCCTAAGATGTACTGAGTGGCTCCTCCCCGTGCCCCATGCCTGCTTATTGAGCATCTGCTTGATGTGTTTGGTCTCAGCAGCTGCATTCTTTGGGGGGGGGAGGCTTAGGGAAAACACTTCAGAACAACACCGTGTATAGTTTCACCATGGGGTACACATTCCAAGGAAATGTATCACCCCCGCATGGCTTAACTCATTTTATTCCCCATTCCCAACATGTAATACTGGATATTTGTAGATATCGGCCTCCTAAAAAACCAAAAGATTAAAAAGACTTATTTTTGTTCATTCAGATAGTTTTCTAGGGGGAGGGGGAGAAATCCAAAGAAAGATTTTTGGGGTTGCAAAGTGCGAAAGCTGCACCGTTCCAAACATGTTCAAACATTCAGCAATGCGCCTATGTGCAAGTAAAAGTCTGCAGCAGCCAGAGAACCAGCTGGTTATGTTCAAATCAGCGCGTCAGCACACACCTCTTTGCTCTCACTGCCCCTTAGGAATGGCTCAGTGAGGATCAAAACAACTTGCAGAATTCTTCCTTCTGGTCAACTCATCACTACACAGGTGCCTTCTTAAGGCCGAGACTGACAGCCCCTCATTCTCTTTGCTCCTGCACCTACAGCCTTCAAGCTTCCAAACATGTTCAAACATTCAGCAATGCACATATGTGCCAGGGAACCGTAAAAGTCTGCAGCAACCAGAGAACCAGCCGGTTATGTTCAAATCAGCATGTCAGCACACACCTCTTTGCTCTCACTGCCCCTTAGGAATGGTTCCGTGAGGATCAAGGCAACTTGCAGAATTCTTCCTTCTGGTCAACTCATCATTGTGCAGGTGCCTTCTTAAGGCCAAGACTGACAGCCCCACATTCTCTTTGCCTCTTACCTCAGGCCCCTTTTGCCTACCTTTCTTTGAAGTACATGTGGTGTGACTCTCTCGGCCTCCACCCACCCTGCCTCTGGGTTCTCTTAGGTCCCCTACCTCCCGGGATCTCCTCTCAAGCAAGGGCCGTGTTTCCTCTCAGGTTTTGCCTCAGGTGGCACACTTTCGGTAATGCCTACTTTTGTACCTGGCTTTGTTGCCGGGTCCCCTGAAAACAGCAGGGTTCTGCCCCCCAGTTCCACCTCTCTCACGCACACCCCAGCTCCACCTCTTGGCCACCCAAGACAACACCACCACTTTGAGAATTCCTGGTCTGACACTCACCAGAGATAGCGGTGTTCGTCTGCTGCAGCAAAAGCAAAGAAGAGTCTTGAGGTACTTTCCTGAGGGCCTTCGAGTCACAGCTGACTTATGGCGACCCTGTAGGGTTTCCAAGGCAAGAGACGTTTCAGAGGCGGTTGGCTAGTCCCCCATAACGTTCTAGTTCAGTTTGTAAAGCGCTACAAGTCTTGGTGTTTTTTTAAAATTTTAAACAGTGACAATGCTATCAGACCACCCCTGTCCGGCCTACTGCACTGACTCACAGAGATGGTGCTTAGAAAAATCTTCCACGTGATGCAATGGAGCCTGGAAGAACCCGGTTATTGCAGGACAGGCCAAGCTGTCTTTAGCGTAACCCTCCTTGCTTGCTGCGTCAGCTCCGTGGTGTATCTGGCCATTCCTTCCCCGTCCCGGGACTGGGTGGCAGGAGAAGGGGAAGAGAACAGCCAGCCATGCATTCACGGCATGCATAAAGGGCTGGCTATTTTAAAACATTTTTTTGTGCATTTCTCCAAACAAAAACAACCATCGCAGCACAATTAAATAGTATAAGGGTTTCTTCACGTTGCCATGGAACTGGCCGGAAACGGTTATGAAACCAATCAAGGCAGTATGACCAATTAGAGCTATTGAGTTGGGTGCTTTGTTGCTGTTCTGGAGAGAACGAGTGGCTGGCACAGCTTTCTCCCCCTTGACTGTGTGAAAGGGCTAAAGCTGGCTCGGAAGGATTAACCGGTTTAATGCCGCTCACATTCTTTCCTCTCACCCTGTCCCAACTTTGGGCGTACTTGTGAGTACAAACAACTACAGGCTGTTCCAGCTGCTGCCGTGTGAACAGGGAAGCATCTGGGCCTTTAATATGTTCGGCATGTCTGCTGCAAGACGGGCACCCCATGAAGCTGTTTTCTACACAGTTACCAAAAACGTTAAAGGTGCGTCTTTGTGGGGGGGGGGGGGGGGGGATCAAATTAAAATAGGAAACATTTTCCCAAAAAAAAGCTTTCTCAAGGATTATGTTCCAGGAGAAGACTGCAGTCCTATGCAGTCTAAGCCCACTGAAATCAAAAGAGTTAGTCTGGAGTAATTTTGCATAGGATTGCTCTGTAATGAATGGAAATTCCAGGAGTCTGTCGGATACAATTTCTATTCTGTTGTATGTTTCCCCTGTAGGATTAGCGTTTCTTAAGTAGTAGCAGGAATCCTAACGACAGCATAAACAATTCACAGACTTCTTTTCCAGGATGTGGTTCAACTCTTTTCCCTAAGGCTGTGTATTTCTGTTTCCAGATCTACCTGAGTGGAATTTTGATGGATCCAGCACCTTGCAATCCGAGGGTTCCAACAGCGACATGTACCTTGTTCCATCTGCTATGTTCCGGGATCCTTTCCGCAAAGACCCCAACAAGCTGGTCCTCTGTGAGGTCTTCAAGTACAACCGCAAGGTTGCAGGTACAGTCTGACCCCACTTCTTGGCATCCCCAACTCTACACTGAGAGGCCTGGTAACAGTTTAAGTGTCGAGAGAGAGGTGCTCTTGGGGTTACGCAAGATGAGCGAACCTCATAGGGCTTCAGCTGTAAGCTCTCCGTATGGCAGAAGGGACATCGGTAGTCTTTGCTTAGGAAGTGTTCTCTCAAGTAAAAAAAGAAAAAGCTGTCACTTCCTTAAGAATAACCTAATTTTTTTTTAAGTAGTGGGGTTGCTACTTTGCTGCTTTCTAGAGAGGAAGCAGTCAAAAAGGACAAGGATAGCTTGGGAAAAGATAGGGTTTCTCTTTATCATCCCAATGAAGTCCAGGAACAAGCAGACAGAACACACCCCCTTCCAGGAGCAAGCCCGTAGAGATTCATAGAATCATAAAACCATAGAAGGGCCCTCCAGGGTCATCTAGTCCAAGCCCCTGCACGATGCAGGAAATCCACAAATACCTCCCCCTCCACACACACACCCCCAGTGACCCCTGCTCCATGCCCAGAAGATGGCAAAAAAAATCCCCTGCCTGGGGAAAAATGGCTTCCTGACCCCCAAAGTGGCGATCAGCCTTTCCCTGGGCGTGTGAGAAAGGGCCACGAGACCCAAGCCCTCAGGCAGCCCTTCCTGCCCTCCCTCCCTCCCCTCCCACCCGCCCGATCTGCCTAAGTTCACAGAATTAGCATTAGGACCCTCCTACAGAGGCTCTAGGAGCTGCGGTGGCTCAAGTGGTTAAGACGCTGAACTGCAGGCTGTGGAAGGTCGGCAGTTCAGCAGTTCGAGACCTGAGTGTGCCGCATGACGGAGTGAGCTCCCGTCTCTAGTTCCAGCTCCTGCCAACCTAGCAGTTCGAAAGCAAGAAATTGCAAGTTGATAAATAGGTACCACTTCGGTGGGAAGGTCACAGCGTTCCGTGCACCTTGGTGTTTAGTCATGCCGGCCACATGACCACGGAAACGTCTTCGGACAGCGCTGGCTCTTCGGCTTTGAAACGGAGATGAGCACCGCAACCCTGGAGTCGGATTCGACTGGCTTTCGAGGAAGGGAACCTTTACCTTTGCCTTACAGAGGCTCTCCTGTGCCCCGTTGGTCATGGAAGCTGCTGTCAAGTTGCAGCTGGCCTACAGCAACCCCACAGAGTTTTCCAGGCAAGAGACCAACAGAGGTGGTCTGCTGTTGCCTGCCTCTACGTAGCAGCCCTGGACTTCCTTGGGGGTCTCCCATCCAAGTACGAACCAGGGCTGACCCTGCTTAGCTTCTGGGATCTGATCACCGTCAGGGCACCCCTCTCTTCTAGCAACAGGAAGTGATTTAAAAAGAGGGTACTTGCAGAAAACCGTTTGCTAAGTGACAACATACCATATGCTTGTTACCATCCAGCCAACCACTTTAGCTGTATTGTATGGCACTGGAGGAGATCATCACACACACACACACCCTGTTTTCCCTGTAGTTAGATCAGGTGTGAGTAAAATTCTCCCCATCAAATAGGCAGGGCTATAGAGACTGCTGGCTCACCAAGCGATCCCATGCTTACAATGGTATGTTGTATGGTGAATGTCGATTCATCAACCTTTCGGGGACTTTCAAGGTGAATGACACCACTGCCTTAACTTTGCTTACTAATTGGAAGCCCGTGTTATGCACCAAGAGAGTTTTATTGGTTTCAATTTGGTTTTAACAATGTTTATATATTAGTTTGTACCCTGCCCTGAGCCTGGTCCCTCTAGGGGAGGGCAGTCTAAAAATCAAATTTAATACATAATAATAGATAATAAACATTTCTTATCCAGGCTGCAACCAAGTGCCGCAACTAGAGATACTTGGATTCATATAAAGGCAACAGGAAGTCTTTAAATCAACTGAGATCAAAATACTGGGGTAAAATAAGAATGCACAAAATATCCTTACTGGATCAGACCAAAGAGCCATCTTGTCCAATGTTCCATTTTGGTAGCAGCCAATCAGATGCCTCTGGAAGATCACAAGGAGGGCAAGCCGCTGGCAGCAAAGCCGGCATCATCTGAAGCCAATTCCAGCCCACAAGACATTCATTTCCAATGAGCTGATACGTATTAGCTGATCCAATAGTCACATGCATCACTTGTCAGCCCGCACCACACCAAACTGACCTTTTCTTCTTCCCTCTTAACTGTGGCCTCCCCTTTCTCGAGAATGCTGCACAAAGAATTCATTAGCATCTCAAAGCCTGTGGCAGCCATGCTGACCACACTGTTGCCAAGGTGAAATTTCTAGGGTTTTCTTAGCCACGATCTTACGGAATGGCCTGGGGCAACCACCTTGCATTCCTGACATGTAAAAATATTATAGAATGACTGGTGGTGGGTCAGTTAGGAAAAACTGTTAGATACTCTGAGCTGTAGAGACTGTACAGATAATCTACACCACAGGGGTGTCAAACATTAGGCCCGGGGGCCGGAAGAGGCCCGTCCAGAGCTCTTCTTGCCCGGCCTGCAAACGACTGGTATGTATGGAAATGTCAGGTACTCCCCCTTTATGGTGTCCCTTGGAAAAAAACCCTAATCTTTCATGTGATTAAATACATTTACTGGGGCTTTTGTGGGTTCCCCAGTAAATTAATTGCTTTCACTGCTAGGAATCAATCGCTTTGAGTAAAAAATAATATTGTTAATTGGTTTTGCCTGTGTCCTTTATCATGTTTATTTCTCCGGTACCTGGCATGACATTGTATGGCACACATGGCTTGGCCCACCAAAGTGACATTTATGTCAGATCCGGCCCTTGTAACAAATGAGTTTGACACCTCTGATCTACACTGTCATCCGAAGCAGCGTTACACCCTTCAAAACTCATGGACTAGCCCTGACCTGGATAGCCCAAGCAAGCCAGATCTTGTCAGATTTCAGAAGCTGAGCAGGGTTGACGCTGGCAAGTACTTGGATGGGAGACCTCCTTGGAATACCAGAGGTGGGGGCAGGATTTATTCAGCCACCTCTCTGAATATCCTCCAGGTCACCAGAGGTCGCCATGACTTCCAGATGCACACACACATGAAAAACACAAACACCCCCCCCCCAAAAAAAAAACCCATGGGATTTTCAGTGCACATATGCTTAACCCATGTCTCCATCCCCATTGATCACACCACAAAGTATGTACTTGCTTAAATGTCTCTTGCAGTATCCTTAGCTCTCTCCTTTATAGAGTTTAGAGATCAAGTGTATTTAGGTGGGCCATGGGGACCACTCTTTTTATTTGCTTATGCTCATAGGCTACATACCCTGGCATTGCTGCATCAATAATAACAACCACTTGACTTCTGCTTTCTTCAGAAACAAATCTAAGGCATAGCTGTAGCAAGATAATGGACATGGTGTCTAACCAAATCCCTTGGTTTGGGATGGAGCAAGAATATACCCTTCTTGGAACAGATGGACATCCATTTGGTTGGCCTTCCAATGGCTTTCCTGGGCCGCAAGGTAAGCTTCCAAGAGGGAAGTCCAAGACTGCCACTAGAATGGTAGTGCCCTGTGAGGACTCCTTATGCTTCGCTTATCCAAAATTCCCTGTTATCGCCAATGATGGGATATTAGGTAGCAGGGAACAGTCAAAGTCTGCAGTGCAGAGCTCGGTAAACCTTTGGTTTGACGAAACAGGAGGAAATGTACATGATAAAGAGTGGAAACATTTCAAGGGAAGGAGACTAATAAGATTTTGAAAACTAAAGATGGCGGACACCCAAGGCCTTGAACAGTACTGCTCTTGGTAACAACTGCATCTTTCCCCCAAATGGTTAGGGCTTGTTGGTGACACACAACTTAATGTATTGCCAGTGTTGCACATAGCCACACAATCTAGGTAACCATGTGGCTAAATCCTAGACATAGAGTTGGATCCAAACTAAATTTTCCATCAGCAGAACAGATTTCCTGCTTCCCCCTTCCCTTCACAAAATGCTACTCTGGGCTATGGGGGGACCTTTAATAATGACATGAGGGAGATCTACAGTAGGAAGGATGGAATCTGTTGAAGTAATTTAGTGTGGATCCAACCCCGTGTACTTTACCAGGAGTGCTGCAGAAAGAACCGTGAAAGCCATGGCTGTTACACCATTCCAGGTATCAAACAGAACCTCAAACTACAAATAAACAGAACCGTGATAGTGGAGATGGAATATTTTGGGATTTTTCAAAGATATTAAATCCCTTCAAATGCATAGATTTTTGTCCCATCTCCAACCCAAGAATTGCTTGAAAATCTTATTATATATTATCATTAATAAGTAGTAATTAGAGATGGGGCAGCAAAGACAACAGGCTAATGTTTTCACAAGGAGCGTAAAACACTAGAAGTTGAGCTGTTTTGCACTATTGCTGCAAACATTTGTGAAAATTTAGCTGAGCCTTACTTAAAACACAAGGGCTTGAAGCTCTTGGTGTTGGTAGTGTTACCAGAGCGCTCTTTTGGCAAAAGACGTGGAAAACCCACAGACGTCTTTTGCTTTCCCCTTCTCCTGCAGGTCCGTACTATTGTGGTGTTGGTGCAGACAAAGCCTATGGCCGTGACATTGTGGAAGCCCATTACAAGGCCTGCTTATATGCGGGCGTGAACATTGGAGGCACAAACGCAGAAGTGATGCCAGCACAGGTAGGCACTGGAGCCGAAACTGTGTCACTCTTCTTTGTGTCACTCTCCGCGCTTCAGGGGTTCTTCAGAGGCTGAGAGGCTAGGGAGAAGGAGGTGTGAACAGCATGTTGCAGAGCCCCCCCCCCCCCCAATTTCTGATCCTAACTAAATCTGTGTTTCATTTCCATTGTAGTGGGAGTTCCAGGTGGGTCCCTGTGAAGGGATTGACATGGGTGACCACCTCTGGATTGCTCGATTCATCCTTCATAGAGTATGTGAAGATTTTGGCGTCATCGTGTCTTTTGACCCCAAGCCCATCCCTGGGAACTGGAATGGAGCAGGCTGCCATACTAACTTCAGCACCAAATCAATGAGAGAGGACGGAGGCCTCAGGTAAGTGCCGCTTCCAGCTGAGAAGGCTTTGCCAGGGGAAAACAAAGGGGAAGGAACAGATAAACCGTTCCTGGAGTGTTGAAGCCAGGGCTCCTTCTGTAGAAAAAGCCCAGCAGGAACTCATTAGCATAATAGGCCACACCCAACAACAGAAACTCATTAGCATATTAGGTCACACCCCTGACAGCACAGCTCATTAGCACATTAGGACGCACCCCCATGTTATCAGAAGTGTGGTCATCCAGCCACACCCACCTTTTGCTTCTTATTCTGTTTACCTTGTTTGTGGTCAAAACCCAGGGCCTTTTTGTAGCAGGAACTCCTTTGCATGTTAGGCCACACACCCCTAATGTAGCCAATCCTAATGAGTTTCTACTGTTGGGTGTGGCCTATTATGCTAATGAGCTCCTGCTGGGCGTGGCCAACTTGGGAGCCAGCCGGAACTCCGTTCCTGTGCGTTCCTGCCCAAAAATAGCCCTTGTTGCAGCTGAACTTGGGCCTGGGCTCTCTGGGAAACACGTGGCTATTTACATTGCAGCGCAATTCTAAACAGTATTACACCCTTCTAAGCCTATTGATATCTCTGCTTTCAGAAGGGTTAACTCTGGTTAACTCTGCATTCTATTTTCATTTGAAAAGCAGTCTGCGTCTCTTCAAAAGTTTAAAAAAACCCAGTTAGTATGGTTTTGAGTCCTCAGGTGGTAAAACAGACCTCTAGCTGCAAGTGTTTGGGGTTTTTTTTCTATGCGCCGTTACATTAAGGTGGGGGGGAAACCTCTATATGTAGAAAGCTAGCGCAACAGGAAAAAAAGTAGGCTAAAACATTTCTCCCTGATGTGTTAGCTTTTAAAATATACCAAAGGAAGTATTTAACAATGTGACTTCTCCCTCCCCACGTGTGTTCTGAAGTGGTACATGCCACCCTACCAGGTTCTTCTGCTACCAGGGTATTTATTGTATCGGACTAGCCATGATCAACAAGACCTAGAATTCTCTCCAGGGTGACTGTTTTCCCACCCTTACAAGGACAGCTCCTTGCATACCCAACACCATACCTCCACCAGCTTCCTAGAAAGCTAATTCTGCAACATTATAAAAATCCAGATTTAGACTAAATCCTACAAACAGAACAAGATTATGCAAAAGAGTAAACAGATTTTGATGGGCCCATACCTTTCCCCTTAGGGTGACAAGTAACAGTAAAGGGACTTTTATCTGAGCTGCAGTAGAATCAAAACAGAGAGGGTTTGGTGGGAAATTGTGTGGGTTTTTTTTAATCCGTCAAGAAGCCACGGAATCAAATGAAGGCCTGGCCATTTCCCCTTCCCATCCCGCATCAATCACATGACTACTCGCACCTCTCATGAGCTTTACAAATCAGATATGCAAGGGAAGTTGAAATTATTCTGGACTTTTGCAGTAGGCATTCTAGCGCTCCGGCTGGAATATTCGTGAACTGCCATTGCTGAGAGGTTTTCCTGAGAGTCTGCATGATGTAGTAGTTAGTGTCATACTAGGTTCTGGGAGACCCAGGTTCAAATCCCCCACGGTAGCTCACTAGGTACCCATGGGCCAGTCACTCTCTCTTAACCTAACGTACCTTACAGGTTGGTTGTGAGGATAACATAGAGGAGAAGAGTATGATGTTAACTGTTTTGAGACCCCACTGGGGAGAAAGCTGGGGTATAAAAGAAGTAAATAAATAAATATTGGAGTAGGGATGGGCACGAACCAGGAAAATGGAGGCTCATCCCAGTTTGTGTGGTCACACAAGCCACGAAGCTTTACGATCCCCATTTACCGAACCAGTTCCTTTGTGAGGTTTGTGATGCACTGGGGGGGATCTGAGATCTTCCCTCCCTCCTTTCTGCTGGCAGCAGCAGCAGTTCCCCGAGGCCATCAGAATGGGGGGGGGGAGATATTGGAAAAACCATTTAAAGGGAACGTTCCCTTTAAATGGCTTTTGCAAGCTGTGCATGAGTGAAGTCCAAGCAGTGAGTTCACCCGGAAGTCCGTCCCCCCATTGCTTTGCCAATTAATTTATTGGTGCCGGAGTATCTGCTGCATGAACCCCCAACACGAACCACATGAACCTCTGCAAAAAACATGGAAGGTCATGAGAGGTTCGTTGCGGGCGTGATTACACGACCCCATGGCTCAGGAACTGGGCAATATTTGTCATGAAATTAGGTTTTGATAAGGTTCGTGCCCATCCGTATATTGGAGCCTCAGAGAAAAGCCAGCTTTGTAAAGACAATTGGAGAAAGAGAATGGAGTATATCTTAAGAGCAGGCCTCTGCATATGCAGTGGTCGTCCTGAATGCATCAGTAGATGCAGAATCCAACTTCCTGGACAATCTCTCCTTTTATTCCTTCTCTCCACCCTCCCTTGCAGTCATCAGGATCAAAAACTACAATGTCAAAAAATTCGAAAGCTGAGATCTTTAGTAAGCTGAATTCTGTGGATAATACCAGTTCATGTCCCGTCCCCCGCCCCCAATTCACCAGCAGAACCGGAACATACGTATTGGCTTGGTTCAGACATAATGGAAAACCATGTTTATTTTAAATACATCTTGGGAGCCATCAGGGCATTTATGTGGAAGGAGCTCCATCTGCACAGTATGAATTTGTTACTGTCCCTTCCTGCTGCAGCATTTCAGTGGGTATTCCGGGCTGCAGTGGTAGGGGAGAAAGTTGAGGTCCATGGGCAGACATCCCTTCCAGTGGATCCAAGCCAATGGTTAGTTTGTGAAACCAAGATTGGGCTCAGATGCTCATTCACTTCCTGCTTTGCCTTCCACAAATGATGGTTTTATCACCTTCAGTCTCCCTCGCCCAAGAGACCCATCAGTATCCCAGCTTGCATTGGGCCAAGGACAGTGATGGTAAACAACCCATAGTTAAGACCAGCTGTTGTTAGTAAACCAATTCCAAACCCTGGTTTCGGGTCTTGGTTTAACAGACAGTAACGATAACTGATCAAGTGGCCTACCTTCAGATGATCACGCTAACCACATTTAAACCCCGTGGCTGTACACGACGTCAGAACTCAACTAGATCCCTGCGCACAATCCCATTAGTAGCGACAAGTGGTGGTGGTGTTGTCAAGAAAATTCAGCTAGTCGTTCTGTACTACAGTACTTAGTTATGACACAGAAACGTGGCCTTCCACAAGGATTCAACAGCTGCTTTTCTCCCTTCTGCAGCTACATTGAAGAGGCCATCGAGAAGCTGGGCAAACGCCACCAGTACCACATCCGCGCTTACGACCCCAAAGGGGGGCTGGATAATGCCAGGCGCCTGACTGGTTTCCACGAGACATCAAACATCCACGAATTCTCTGCTGGAGTAGCCAACCGAGGGGCCAGCATCCGCATTCCGAGGAGCACAGGCCAAGAGAAGAAGGGCTACTTTGAAGACCGCCGGCCCTCCGCCAACTGTGATCCTTACGCTGTGACCGAGGCACTAGTCCGCACTTGCCTCCTCAACGAAACTGGGGATCAGCCCTTTGAGTACAAGAACTGAGTGGACTTTGCCCCCCCCCACCACCACAGGCACCCACTCTCCTCCTCCTTCCATATTTCCCCTCTTATAGATGTTAATCCTGAGGGCATGAGAAAACCATGTACGTGCCCCCTCCCCTACACACACACATACACACACACACACAGAGATACTTGTTCTGTTTTTGTTTTTTCTTGTGGGAAGGGGAGTTACTTTCAGTGTTTGTTCTGTCGCTCAAGGGACAGAGAAGTGGAAGAGTGGGCATTAGAGGGGGGGGGAAGCCCCGTTAACCACTATTTCGTCTAATTCATTTGTACGCCCTGACAGTGTTCGGAGGCTTCCAGGAATAGAGTGCTCGGGATGGAAACTTCAAGGAAAATGTAGGCCTAGGGCCTCGGCCTAGGCCTCCCTCCAAATATACTCTTCTTGAGCGCTACTGAAATCAGTGGGAAGTGCACAAAGGGTGCTGCCTTGCGTTATCTGTTCACTTCAGCAGTGTTCGGTCGCTGAGGCATTCTTGTGGGATTCCACACTGAGAACAGCATCTCTGGTGGTGCGAGGCATAACCTGTGTTCTCCGTCACAGTTCCTCAAAGGCAGAAGGCTGTCCTAATAGTCTCATATATGGGGATACAGGGTTCCTGAGCCAATATGATCCCCTTTTTTTTGCCAGAACTGAACCTCTGATCATTCTTATGACAAGATTGCCAGGTTTTTCATCCCAAAGTTTAAAAACAAAACGTATACAATTGTTAAAAGTTCTCAAATGTTTTGATCTGTTTCTGGAAGCCATCTGACTTTTCTGTTTCTAACACAGAGTGAAGTAGTATTTTTATATTTAAATGTTAAAAAAAACAAAAAAATCCACTAAATCAGCCATTTATGGGAAGGGCTGAGGTTATGGCCGGTGCTTGTTAGCCGTTAAGATTCAGTTACGGAATGGGGAGAAAAGGAAGAGAAAAGGCCGGGGGGGGAGCGGCAAGTTTTGTTTCCTTTTCCGAATGTGGCTTGGATGGTTCGTTAAGGACAAGGGGTTATCAGTTTACAAGATTGTAAGTTAAAACAGGTATTAAATTTTTTTTCTTTTAATTTAAAATGGAAGCCACTGAGCTGTCTTGGGCAGGGCTGCGTGCGGCTGGCTGCGGCAAGGAAGATGCGTTTGTGTTTTTCAATAAGGAGTTGGCTGGTCAACTTTCACCGTGTTATTGCTGATGAATTGGCAGGGAAGGGGGGGGAGGGGAATGAGCACGTTAAAAATTTCCAATAGGGTTTGCATGGCAACTGAAGTGGGGCTTTTGATAGAGAAGAAGGAAAAAAAAAATGGGTTTTTAGATTTGAAATAACATGTTTTTAGGGCTTTCTAAAGTTGTACATTTTTACAGAGACCAGTGCTATTCCTGTAGGTATGTCCTGGCGTTTGAAAACGCCTGCCACTTCTTGCCAGGACCCCCTCCCCAACTAACAAACATAGTTGCCCTCAGAGGTAAAGCTAGCGGGTTCAAACGTTCCGGGATCTTGTAACTTGGTATCTTGGATGGTGCCGATCATGTTCCGCTGCATTTGGACTTTGGAATAGTTTTTGTTTTTTTTTAATAAAAAAAAAGTCAAACCTAGTCCACCGTCTCTGTGTTTTCAGTTTCCACCTGAGTGTGGTTAATTTTCTGGATTTGTCTGCCATCAGTACTGAGATACAGGAGGGCCAGAGCTTGTGACTGACCCAAGGTCACATCAGCAGGTGCAAGTGGAGGAGTGGGGAATCAAACCCGGTTCTCCCAGATTAGAGTCCGCGCACTTAACCACGACACCAAACTGGCTCTCCCCAATAAGGAAGGCCCTCCCCAATTATTTGCCCCAAGCTTCTAGTATGCAAAGTTACACTACCCTTGGACACGGAAGTTCCACCATAATTTAGGAGTAAACTGACAGACCATGCATCTGTCTAACCTGACCGGCCAAGCATCTGTCCCCAACATCAACAACAATTTGTCCCCAACATCAATCCTTAGATTATTCCATAAGTTAATTATACATTGTTTGAAGAAGTAAATTCTTCTGTCTGCCCAGAACCTAGCGCAGACAGCTGGAATGAGGGTAAACCAGGGCAAGCCGTAGCCTTGTGGCCCTCCTCTCGTACCCAGCCCCCAAATGAAGTAAATAAATAATGGGCAATCCATGAGAATCTCATTTGTGTGTGTGTGTGAGTGAGTGAGAGAGAGAGTTTTCTTTATTTAGCAAGTCCCACCAGCTGCTTGAAAAATGGAGGGGAATTGCACTGGGGGGGGAAGGGTGTATTTAACCTTTTTCTCTCATGTCATTCCCCCGAAGCTATAACTCTGTGTGTCTGTGAGCAGGAGATGTTATCTTTGAGACGTCATCTTTATGGAAGATCATTCTGGAACATCTAGAGCACCTATTATATTGTAATATCGTAGTCATGATTTTATATGGTTTTAACATGTTTTATGTGTCGGCTTACGCCTATTTGTGAGCCGCCCTGAGCCCGCATTTGCGGGGAGGGCGGGCTATAAATTGAATTGATAAATAAATCTCCCCCCCCCGGCTAATTGTAGATTCGGGTAAATGACATGAGCGGAAATGGTCAAACAGCCTCCCCCCGTCAGGTTCAGGCAAGCGAGCATGCACCGCAGCGCCACAGTCAGGAGAGGACAGATACAGTTGAAACATGGCAGCTAGCTGACACACCCACACACACACACACACACCACTTTTCTCAAGCGGCTAATTTTACCTGAAAGGACAGACCCACTCATTCATCTCTTATGCATCATCTATCTGATTTAATCTTTAAAAAATCCCCCCAAAGCCTTAGCCTTTCTTTACAAGGAAGACGGCCCTGATTTTAAATAAATCATTGTTATTTGATTAAAAAGCCATCCTACATACTGACAACGTTTGGTCAACGAAGAAAACTTCTACACTATTGCACGGATACAAGCATGCACACCCGCCCAGCACGGTGCCGGTCTGCATCAGGTGGACCAGCTCAGACACCACTCTGGACCTTGAGGAGCACGTGGTTGGACCAGGGGGGTCTTCATGTCGCGATTATCTTTCACCCGCAGCTCCTTTCTGGCCAGACCCTGCCCAGCCTGCTCATCCCCTTCAAATGGAGATAGGTGTAGGGCGTGGAGCCCATGTGTCCGGAGAGGTCCTCACACACTCCAGCTTCCCCAGTGTTGGAAACTGGTCTAGCCAGGCTGCTGTCTCGAGGCCTTTGTCCTCCAAGCCCATCTTCTCTGCCAGCCGTTGGTTCAGATCTTCCTCCTCTGCCATCAGCTTTACCCTCGCCACTGGGGTTGACAGCTGCCCGATCCTGCCACCCACAGTGGTCAGTGGCACTCTGCCTTCTGGCCTGGCCCTGTTACTGCAGTCCCCTGCCGCGACGTAGTTCCTGCATCCGATGGCCATGGAACCTTTCAGCCTTGTCCACATGGCCCTCCGCTCTTTGCCTCTCGCTGGGGCATGCAGGGCGCACAGGTGGAAGTGGGGCTTTTGTCCCAGCGACACTCAACTCTTGGAGTCAAAGTCAACCAACAGCAAGTCTCCTGGGGTCACTTCTGTGGTTCTCACCAGTTCCCAATCATTGGTCTTCCTGGTTAGCATGGCCACTCTGCCCTCGCCTTTCGGGTCATAGGACCAAAACAACAGCCTCCCACCTCCAGGCCTTCTGTACTACCGAGTAGTCACACTCGTCTCTCAAGTGGGCCTCTTGCAGGATGATCAGGTCCTGCCCCAGTTTGGACAGTAGACCCAGGACCCGCTCCCTCCTGCCCTGCTGACAGAGGCTGCTCGTGTTCCAGGTGGTGAGCATCACTGACACAAAAGGGTCCAGCTGAACTCTGGCAGAGGCTACCTGCACATCCTTCCCTCTCTTCTCTGCTCTTGCTTTCTTTTGCTCCTGCTGCTGTTCCAGATGAATTTGTCCCTTTAAAGCTCCTGCAGCTTCCCTTGCCTCTCCAGGTGATCACTGGTGTTCTACTGCTCTCACATGCTCTCTCATCACTTCCAAATTCGGGCTACCTGTGGCTCTGTGCTTCACACATCTGCATTCTGTGGTACAAGGCACGATGGCGTGTCCTCCTTCCTACAGTCCAGGGACCGCTTCAGGTCCACGGCATTCATTTCTGCCTCCTCCTCGGACTGAGGGGGTGCACTCTGGCAGAGGCTACCTGCACATCCTTCCCTCTCTTCTCTGCTCTTGCTTTCTTTTGCTCCTGCTGCTGTTCCAGATGAATTTGTCCCTTTAAAGCTCCTGCAGCTTCCCTTGCCTCTCCAGGTGATCACTGGTGTTCTACTGCTCTCACATGCTCTCTCATCACTTCCAAATTCGGGCTACCTGTGGCTCTGTGCTTCACACATCTGCATTCTGTGGTACAAGGCACGATGGCGTGTCCTCCTTCCTACAGTCCAGGGACTGCTTCAGGTCCACGGCATCCATTTCTGCCTCCTCCTCCTCGGACTGAGGGGGTGCGACACTACTAGTCGGTCTGGGTCCGAGGAGGAGGGGGGCCCAACTGGTCAGATGGGGGGAGGGGTGGCCCAGATACATGGGAGAAGAGCTGGCTGCTCCACCGGCTGACTCTGCCACCTTCTCCTCCTTCCTCTTCGCCCCCTCCTTTTACCCACTGGGCTTCCAGGCCTTATCCTTTCTGTCTCCTTTCTTTTGCCCATCTTTTGCCCACATTTTCAAAGCTTTAGGTTTCCCATCCCAGTCTCTCTCTCTTTATTTCTCATGTCAATTTCATTCCACACTGACGATCCTCCCCCTTTATTTTGTTTGCATGCAGCACTGGGGACACTGCCGTTTGCCATCCCTCTGATCCCCATTTCAAGTCAATACCAGCAGGAAACTAAAGCTCATGCAGCTCTTTTTAAACTCCCCCCGTCATTTAATTTTTTTTATTCAGCGATCTGAGACTAGCGATAGTCTCACTAGACTCATGCTGCTTGTAAAAAAATTAAAATGTTTAAAATGAGGGGGGAAAGGAGCTTGTACACTGATGAAGGGGGGAGGATGGCGGAAGGTGGAATGACCGTGAAGTGGGTGGGGGAGTGACCTTCGAGGGTCAAGAAAAGGGCAGGGGGTAAATCCGAGGGGATCTATCTGTTTTTGAATGACCTTCGGCTTGGAAATGAAACAAGGGGGAAATTGGCACAAAAGCAACCTCAGAAAACCTAGGGAAACAGCAAACAGAAAATGAACTGAGCACTGAAGGCAGGAAAATCAATGCAGAATGACAAAAAATACCTGACGGACATGTATGGTGAAAGCAATGGAAACATCCAAACATAATAGTCCTATCTGAATCTTGGATAACTGCATGGGTAGGCTGGTACATAAAGTTACTATCGATGCTAAAGAACCAATACAGCCATGCACTGTTATTATGGTCTGCCACCCGTCCTTAAACCCACTGTTCATTTCCGCTGACTGGCTGCGTATTACCTTTTGGGTTCTGACCTAGATCCAATCTCAGAAGGTTCAAATTGTACTTATTCTAGAGCGAAGGAAAATCATAACCTGGAACACCGATTGAAAACTGCCTTTATCTGCCTCCCATTTTGGTCATCACAAATAAAATACATCTATTTTAAGTGAATGAGCTACAAACGAGAGCAGTAGAAAAAGTAAAAAGTATCTGTTTGTACAACTGAAAATGCAGATTCACCTCTGAAGGATTTAAAAAGAAGAAGAAGAGATTGGATTTATACCCCCCCCTTCACTACCCAAGGGAGTCTCAGAGTGGCTTCTTTCCCTTCCCCTCCCCACAACAGACACCCTGGGAGGTAGGTGGGGCTGAGAGAGCTCTTGACAGAAACTGCTCTTTTTCAAGAACAGCTCTTATCAAAACTATGGCTTGCCCAAGGCCATCCAGCCAGCTGCAAGTGGAGGAGTGGGGATTACAACCCAGGTCTCCCAGATTAGAGTCCGCGCACTTAACCACTACACCAAACCAGCTTTAAACCTGGGACTTAATTCACAGTGGATGCATTTTGACACTCTCTGGAGTCTCACATACTTCCAGGATTCTCTTACATCTATATATATATCAGAAAGTCCCCTCACCGTAAAATCAACGCCCAGGCCAAACCTAGAGACACCAAATTCGGGGACAGCACTCCTACCGTGGCGTAAGTGCTCGCTAAGAAGGGATTTTTAGAAATTCGACCCCTAAGTGGGTCAAAAGGGGTAAAATGTGCTCCCCCCATTGATTCCCATGTGGCTTCCAGACAACTGCCTCTCTGCACCCCCCACTCTCTGACTGGTCAGCTGCAGAGCTCAGTGTTCTGAGGTAAAAAAAACAGGGGACTGCACAGAGCTAATGACAGTTCAGGAAATCAGGAATGGCCAACAACCACCTGTGAGGTGAAGCAAAGCTGCTGGCCCAGCCTCTCCGATGGCTTCCAACACACTCCCCACACCTCCTACACCTAACAGGCGGTTGTCTCTGAGGTGCAGCAGCGGGTGCAGGGTTCTTAAAGCCACGAGGGAGCCCGCCCCAGCAGTAATGCCTTAGTGATCCTGCCAGCCCTGCCTCCACAGTGGCTTCTAATATTCCCCCCCTCCCGGCCCTACACTGGAC